GCGTGTATATGACCGGCGTACGTTTCTTTTCCCTCTCGCTCTTTCTCCCTGCCTTTTTTTTTTCCATTCCTCTCCTCGTCTCGGCCGAGGTAAGGGGTGCAACATTGACAAATGTTCCGCCCACCAGTTTCCCACCCTTCCGCCCTTTTTTTCGCCCTCTTTTCCTTCCCTTCTTTTACCGCCCGGATATGCGTATATGGCGGTGGACGCATTCTCATATCAACTTTAACGACGCATCTTTCCGCACGGATTTTACGGCCCGATGATGAATACGTACGCCAAGCCTTATCGCGCGCGAGAATTCTAATTCCCGTACAAATCGCGTTCTTTGCCGGGAATAAAGGGAAAACGAACACGGAAGGGCGATAAGCGTGCCGCAAAAGTGGGGAAAAATAATTAAAATCGTACAACTTTTTTAATAAGTTAATAACGAAAGAAGAACATTTCCGACGTGTGCATGCGTCTTGAAACAATTTACTTTCCGTTGAGCTTCATCAAAGATAATCCGCTCTTTTAAATTCCATGATTATTTTTGTTAACAGATGATATACAGATGATACCGGAAAAGAAGCCAGGTATAGGCTATAATATTTGCGTGATATTAATGATTTTTCTGAAAGTAATGTAGAAAAAAAAGATGTCATCCGAGCTGAAATACTTTTATTTACGATACACAAGTATAAACTTTCTCGATAATTAGTAAAAGTAGATAATTAATAGGAGATAAATTCGATGTATACGCACAAGATGTATGCAAATTGAAATTGTTGTCGTTTTGATGATCCAACGCCGAGAATTAAGAACGTTAAACAAAAGCCTCGTAAAAGTCGAAACTCGTCAGAGGGAAAACTCGGCGTTGAAGTTGAAGCCGCGGATTCCGGTGCGCCGCATATTAATCAACGTACCAATCAACGTATCGATTTATCGGGACGGTAAACACGCCGTTTCGTCAAACGCTTCGCGTACGAGTAGTTTTATTCTCGCGCACGCCGACCGCTCTCCCGTGGAAAAACGTTCGCGTTGCTCCAGCACCACCAATTTAACTTCGGCGCATTCCATTACCGGGAGCATACAGTCCCTGTTTTCCTCCATCGAGGGCCCCGGCTCGTAATTTCGGATTTTAACTGGCGTATAATCGTCGACGGTAACGACGCCGCGGGATAATAAATATTATCTCACTGACGGGCCTGCCATCTCTCTCTATCCCTCTCCCCCCCCTCTCTCTCTC